ATCAATCTCTCTGTCTCTTTCTCTCTCATTTCCCATATTTTCCCCCATTGAAATCTTTAGCAGATCATTGGGTTTTGTCAGGGTTTTGGAAAGCATAATTTGATGACCCTGGTTTTCACCATCTATTTGGAGAATAATAATTAAAAATTATTTTACAAGGCATGTTTGGGTTTTACAAAGGTTTTTGTTTGATAGCGGTTTTAAATAGAGTGCCTAACGTCACTGCGTTACGTATCTTAAAGGCTAACAGAGTCACACCAATGTTTAGATACAGGGAGTTTACAGAACTACTTAGGGGGCCAGGGACAGTCAGGGCCTAAACTATGAGGGTGTGCTTTCACATCGACTTAGTAAATTCAGGGCACCATCATAAAAGGAAGGCCTTTGGATCAGTAAATTAAATAAGCATAAAGAATTAGAGACAGTTCATGTCCACTGTTTCACTGATATTTGGCATAAATCTAGGTAAAGTCCTTTGGGGCTTTTGTATTCCATTGAGAGTAATGAAGAAGTGAAGGGTGGTTTCCCCTATAAAACTGATGTAAGATAGGTAAGAACAATATGCCAAAGCATTCTTTATTAAAATTTTTTCTTTTATTTTGAGAAAAAAATTTTAAATGTAGAAAAGTACAAACAGTAGTGTAACAGTCCAAATTCTGTTAGTTGATTTTCTCTTGATAGTTAGCACTTTGCCATAATGGCCATATTTACCATCATTGCCTCAGTATTTTCTGTTAATAAATAAAACAATACAGAAAATTTTCATTTTTAGATCCTATCTCCAGTTATAATTTAGAGTAAATTATATTTGTAGTGACATGAATGTAATGATGCACAACATGTGATATTGTTTTGTGTTTTTAAAGCTTTACCTGAAGAGTAAATCATATATGTCTTCCTCAAAGCATTCTTTAAAATATGAAGTGCCATTTTTAGCCTTTTAATATCCCTATGTAAGTTGTTTAATTGAAGTTATTATTAATAAATAGCTTTGGAGTAATGATGGGGGCAGGATGGAAGAGTCCACTAGTTGAGAAATTCTGGTGTGAGAGTGGAGAGCTACTGTCTGTAGACTCAGTCCCAGCAAAAGGCTCATGTAGGCTAATCTCCAATTTTGTTAGTTAGATTGCATTTGAGTGTATAGAGTATACATTTATAGTAGTATGCACTAGTAAAGAATATTTCCTGGATGTTTATCTTGGTTTATTTGGAGAAGGACACGGTAGTTTTCATGAAACCAGTATGCATTACCTTTCAGCTGTGATGCAGTAAAAATGTGTCCTTTTCTCGAGGAAATGCTTGATATATACTTATTTCAGTGTTTTACAATTGTGTTTTTATCTATTTCTGTTTGCTCTTATTAGATTCTGAACTCCTTGAAGGGAAAGGGATTATATTGTATTTATATCTGTATTTTCAAAGTCACCATGAGCCAACTAGTCACCATTTTCTGTCAGAGTGGTCAATTCAGTTGATGTGAAATGGAACAAAATAATAGTTATCAGATTTCCTGTATCCAGAATCTGTCAGGGATCCATATTTTTTTATTTTTTTTTAATTTATTTATTTATTTATTTATTTATTTATTTATTTATTTATTTATTTAGAGGGAGGAGGGGCAGAGAGAGAAAGAGAGGGAGACAGAGAATCTCAGGCGACTCCACACTGCCAGCACAAAGCCCAATGCAGGACTTGAACCCACAAACCGTGAGATCATGACCTGAGCCTAAATCAAGAGTCAGATACTTAACTGACGAGCCACCCAGGCGCTCCCATAATATTTTGATCTAAGATTGACAGAATATTAATAACCGGATCAATCAATTTGAATAACTAGATGAAAAGTAAATATGAAGTGCTAATATTACTTAATTCCTCTATGAACTTTGTAGAAACAGATTATATATACCTTTTGAAATAAACTCCAGCATCAGTAAATGAGCTATAAAGTAAATTCCATAGAAATGGACCTAAGAAATAGGGCCAGGTTCTAAAATGGAATTGTCAGTATCATATTTAAGACTGTATCTGGATAAAGATTATGTTCCAAACATACTTTGTTGATTGTAATTTGGAGTACATTTTTCTATAGAAAGAATAGCTTAAGTAATTTCCATATTATTATTCTTCTGATTTGGGTACAATTGAATGTAGTTTTTTTTACTGTATTTTGTAGACGGTAAGTTAATGATTTCTAGCATTTTTTCTGAGTATATTATAATAAAATATGAAAATATGTAGTGAAGTTTATAGCTTTTTAACTTCTAGTTTTTGCTAGTAAAATAGTGTCCAGGTAGCACATTTAAATTTGCTATCAACATTATTTCTAGAAAGTGCTTTCTCCTTTAATCTCATTACTACAGCAGACACTAATAAGTAACGTGTTTGCCTTGGGAATCTTCTGAGGAGTTCCCAGAGGTAAAGCCAGATTTACTTCTGAAATATTCATTTGAGTAATCTTTTGAATTTTAATATGCATTAAAGTTTATCCAAAATATAACCTTTTAGAACCTTATTTCTGCTGCCAGTGAAGTTTTAAAATGTTCACTGCATTTAGCTCGTTCCCTTTCTGTTTACACTATCCACATAAATGTCCTTGGTATATATTCGAGGGAGGACATAAATGACAGGAACTGAAGTGACAGCAATCGTAACTATCATTTCTGTCACAGTTTATGCCAGACAGCTGTGCTCTGTGCTTCAGAAGCGTTGTGTTTACACTGCCAAGACTACCTCCATTATATATGAGGACACTGAAGCCAGGTTAAGGGACTTGCCCTAGCCACCCTCTTAGTGAGGTTCTTGGCTGGGATTTAAACCCAGATTTATCTTGCCCCTAGCACCCATGATGTTTACTACACCATACTATCCCAACGAAAGGAAGATTTTTGACATTTTCAAACATTGGGTATTTTGAAAAATAAAGGATTTGGCTTGCAGGTGTTATAGATGCTTGTTTTTAGAGTATCTGAGAGCAATATGATCCCTTCTGGGTAGACTGATCAGAGAAGATAAACTGAGAGGGAAGCATAAACTACTCAAACTTAAGTGTAATATTAAATAAACATTTGGGTTGGGAGCTATCGGGGGCCCTACCAAAGTCAGACTTCCAGATTCTGTCTCTTCCCAAGTCTGTTTGATGCTGAACTTCCTTGTTAAACGGAGAATGGATTCGAGGCTGACGTAGGAAGAAGGATTAGGGCAGAACACATCTTACCCGAGAGATCAGTAATACCATGGAAAAAGGGAACTAAGCCTCACTGACTGGGTAGAAAGGTCTTCAGAAACTGTATGCCAGGCATTGGGAGACAGAGATAAGAGACATAAATTGTAAAGTAGGAATAAATCAGGAGTAGTGTGGTGAGATAAACGTGGATGGGATGTTGTGGGAACCGAAAGGAAGGCTACTTTCTCCTCGCCTACTGAATCATAAAATGGCTTTTCAGAGGAGATGACACTTGTTGGGAGGTTGAAGGATGAAGAAGAGTTGGCCAGATTAACAGGGGGGAGCTGAGCACCGAAGAAAATGAAAACAGCACGTACAGATAAAACTAAAGAGCAGTCCTTTGCAATGAGTTTCGGGTACCTTTCGAATGAGCCACGTTGTGGCTCATTATAGTTCGCATGAGTAACTTGTAGGAGTCAAATTCTAGTAAACCAAATTTTAATAAAGAATTTATGGGGCGCCTGGGTGGCGCAGTCGGTTAAGCGTCCGACTTCAGCCAGGTCACGATCTCGCGGTCCGTGAGTTCGAGCCCCGCGTCAGGCTCTGGGCTGATGGCTCAGAGCCTGGAGCCTGTTTCCGATTCTGTGTCTCCCTCTCTCTCTGCCCCTCCCCCGTTCATGCTCTGTCTCTCTCTGTCCCAAAAATAAATAAACGTTGAAAAAAAAAATTAAAAAAAAAAAAAAAAAAAAAAAAAGAATTTATTACACCTTATGATACTTTGAAACATTACAGGTTCATAAGGAAAACCTATTGACGTTTTCTATATGTATAGAATATCAGAGCTGACAGCGTCCTCAGAGAATGTCTAGTCAGTACATATTTTCACGCCACACAAATATTTACTGCGTGCTAGTAGTCACAGAGGATACAGATGAAAAGATGGACCTTGCCTCCAAGGAGCTCACAGCCTCCGAGAGGAAATAAGCAGACCATAACACAAGTATGATAAAGGGTTGTAATAAGGATAGAGAGTACTGGTTAAACACAAAGGAAGGCTCATTCATTTTTCTTGGAGATTAGCTAAATAAAGTTTTAATTAGCTCTTGAAGATTCCAGAAGACAGTTCATTTAAGGAAGGAAAGGAAGAAAGGATATTTCAGTTAAGGCTGCTGGTTAAAAGGAACAACTTACAACATTTCTCCTTAAGCCCTTCAGTCAAAGTTCTTCAAACAAAAACTACCTCAAATAATGAAGCACTGTCATGGATAGTTGTCTATTAATAATATAAACTGGCCTAACCAGTGGTTCTCAGTGTGTGGTCCCAGGACCAACATGTCTGGGAAGCTTACAAATGCAAATTCTTGGGCCCCAACCCAGACCTACTGAACCAGGAAGTTTGGTGGCGGGGCCCAGCAGTCACCACTTTCACGTGTCCTGCAGAGGATTCTGATACCTGATCAAGTTTGAAAACTAGTGGCCTAAGCGAACTGTAGGTCATGGAATAGTTGAAAGGTCATGGGCTTTGAGGACAAAACCTGGGTTTGAATCTCACCTTTCTCACTTATTAGGTGTGTGACTGTCAGTCTATCACCTAATGTCTGTGAGCTTTGGGATTTTCATCTATAAAATGAAATCACTAACACTTCCTTTCCAGGACTGTTGTGAAGACTGGTTGATGTAATTTAAATAAAGTGTTTAACACTGTAGCTAGCACATTTGTAGGCTTTAAATAAATGGTGACTGCTACTGTTGTTAGTTTTTTTAGATATTTTTCCCAGTGAATTTATTACTTTCACTAATTGAATGAAAACATATTCATATCTTTTGCTTTTAGATTCAAATGCTCAAGAAATCAAAGACATCTATGGACTACAAGGTCAAGTGGAACACAAGCTGGCTTTCTTGAGAACTCATGTGCCAAAGGAAATGAAACTTGTGATCATTGGCCATTCAATAGGCTGCTATATTTCCCTTGAGATTTTGAAGCTTGCTCCTGAACTGCCAGTAAGTATGCCTCAGGCGGTGACGGTAGATGCCTGATGATGCTCTTGCACAAATCCTCCTCAGCTCTCCTTCCCCCTTTTGTTTCTTGTTTAACTGATCAGTAAAACAGAGAGGGGGGTTATTTGGTGGCTGTGTTTACTTTTATTTGTATTACTGTGGGCCTGTGCTAGTGTATGCATGTTCATGCAATTTCCATGTGTTTCAAAAAATAATATGGTAAGAGGTAGGGATTTTTCCAGATGGATGCCATTGAATCTAGGGTTATCTGGAATTCTTAAGTTGTATGTAACTCATTGTCTTTTATAAAAGAATAGTGAAGAGCAGTTACCAGCTACGACCCAGCAAGAATCTTTATTGGGAGAGTATTTTGCAAATGTTCATGCCTCCTTTCAAAAGGAAGAAAATTTATCATCATTATCATCATTATCATCAGTAGGCAAACAACAGCTGCCCTTTATGGAACACTAAATCTTTATTAGGTCATAAGTCTGGGCCCTTATCTGTTCCACAGCTTGGCAGCCTTTTTGAGACATTCACTTATTCATTCGCAAATTATTGGGTGCCACTTGGTGTCAGATATTAAGTGAGACACTGGAGACACAGAGACCTGTTTAAAGTGCCCAAGAAAGCTAGTGAGCTAGAAGAGACTTAAAACAGAAACTTGTACTTTCACTAACATGTACCATTGAAATGACCTTTTGAATGGATGGAATTCACAACATAAAGTATTTCTTTATTTGATAAACATATATTAAACACTGGCCATGTGTCAGGCCCTGAGCTGTGTTTTGAGGACATCCCAGTGAGTAAGACAGCCTTTGAGGTAAGAGAGTCCAAAATCTCGTGAAGGAGACACACTAACCCGTAGGTCTGATAACTATGATCTTACATAAGTACGGGGTGTGAGGGAGTACTATTTAACCTTGTAATCCAAATGCAAGATTGAAAGTGATTCCTTCCTGGAATCTCATTCCATATGATAAAATACATCTAGTGGAGTTTCGGAGCTCACTAGGAATTTTCTTTTTCTACCAGCTTGGCACACTTACTTCTTATAATCGCCCTTAGGAAATGTACAACCATAGCCTCCGTGGGTGTGTTTTTTAATACCAAATGGAAATTGTTAACTTTCTTTTATTGAGTATAAGAAAATGTATTTTTCATTTCTGAATGTGATTTTGATAAATTCAAGATTGCAATCCATTCGCTGTTTTGTTTCTATTTTTTTTCCCATGGATAAGCCATCTTAATCAGAAAGGAGAGATTTCATTTCTGTTTTTAGCATTTGGCTTGGCTTCTAATCTCTTTTGTGCCTTCTAAATCTCCTCCAGTACTGTGTGATGAGGTTACCATCTTCACAGTGCCCAGCCCTGCCACTCAGTGCTTCTGTTTACACAGTTGCTATAAGCCCTGGTTCCAGAGCTAAGACACCTACGTTCAAACAGTCAGTGTCGTATTTTGTCTGTGTGACCTGGGACAAGTTATGGAGTATCTCTGTACCTCTGTTTCCTCATCTGTGAAATAGGGATAATAATATGTTTCCCAAAGGATTTTTGTGAGAAATTATATAAAGAAGTAAGAATGCTGTCTAGACCTTAGAAGTTCCATAATAGGTATTAGCTATTATTATGATGATGGAAATGACAGTGGAACCATTGGCTCACTAATTAAGTTAAGTACTATATTAGTTATCAACAGCAAGTAACAAATTGCCCCAAAGCGTCATAGCATAAAACCATACACGTTTATCCTCTCACAGTTTCTGTGGGTCTGGGATCTGGCTGATCTTATGATCTTATGAGACTGTAATCAAGGTGTCTTCCAGGGCTACAGTCTCATTTGAAGATTTGAATTGAGACAGAGGTGCTTCTAAGCTCACTTATGGGGTTGTTGGCAGGACTCCATTCCTTGAGGGCTTTTGGAATGATGACCTTGGTTCATTGCTGGCACTTGGGTGGAGTTCACCCTCAGTTCCTTAACATGGGAGAGTCTTTCTAACTTGCCTCATTAGAGCAACTAAGGTAGAAGAGCCAGAGGAAGAGTCTGATTGCAAAATGGAAGTCACAGACTGTAACCTCATTACAGAAATCATATCCCATTACTTTTACAGTATTCCATTTGTTAGAAGTAAATCACTGGGTCTAGCCCCACCCACCCCCCGACTCGAGGAACAGATTACACTAGAGCATGAATATTAGAAAGTAAGGATCACTGGGAGCCATGTCAGAGGATGCCTGCCACACCACTACTACAGTTAGGATTCCACTTGTGTGGTGTACAATCAAGTATGTAGATACATAGATCTATATAAATTAAAAGACTGCATTTATTTCCCAGTATAGAGGTGAGTTTATCCTGTCAAATAGAGTATAGCAAACTGATATGAAATAGAATTTTGGGTTATTAGTTATCCCAGGTGTTTTAAACACTTAAAAAATACATATTTTAAAGAAAAGAGTCCTTGGCATATTTGAAATAATAATAGCATTACCATTTGTGATAGTTAATTTTTATTTATTTATTTATTTTGAGAGAGTGCATGCACAAGCAGAGGTGTGGGAGTGGGGGGCAGAGAGAGAGGGAGAGAGAATCCCAAGCAGGCTCTGTGCTGGGCATGGGGCTCAGTCTCACAAACCATGAGATCATGACCCAAGCCAGTATCAAGAGTCTGATGCTTAACTGACTGAGCCACCTAGGAGCCCCCATTTGTGGTGGCTAATTTTATGTGTAAACTTGACTGGGCTAAGGGAAAGCCAGATAGCTGGTAAAACATTTCTCAGTATGTCTGAGGATGTTTCCAGAAGAGATTAACATTTTCATCAGTTGACTGAGAAAAGAAGATCTGCTCTCATCATTGTGAGTGGGCATACTCCAATCCATCCAGGTCCCAAATAGAACAAAACTCAAGAAAGGAGGATTCTTTCTCTCTCTTCTTCAGTTGAGACATCCATCTTTTCCTGACCTCTGACACTGGAGCTCTGAGTTCACTGGGCTTCAACTCTGGGCCTTACACCATCAGCTCCTCTGGTTCTCAGGCCTTCAAACTCGGACCAAATCATACCACTGGCTTTCCTGGTTCCCAGCTTGCAGATGGCATATTGTGGGACTTTTTGGCCTCCATAATCATGTGAACCAGTTCCTATAATAAGTCTCCTTTTATATATATCTATATCTTTGTGCGTGTGTGAGTGTGTGTGTGTGTGTGTGTGTGTGTGTGTGTGTGTGTGTATCTCCTATTGGTTTTTTCCTTCTGGGGAGCCCTGACAAATACACTATTCTGTAAACATAGAGAAGAAAATATTCATTTCTGAGTCCTTCACAGTGTATTAACTTAATCACCGATCTTTTTGGTTTTTGTTTGCTTCTCATCGATTCTGCATGTGACGTATGGTTTCTCTTGTGCATATTTGAAAGCAGTTGTTGAACACACCTGTTTTGAACCCATCTCTCCATTTTGGCATGCATTCACAGGTCTATTGGGAAAAAAATACAAATGCATCTTAAGGTTAATGCAGCTTCTTACAGCTCCTTTAGCTTTAGAGCTTTCTAATTGTTGCTCTACTTTCCAGGTGTTCTTGCCCTTGGAATAGTGGTGAAAAGGGGGAAGGAAGATGAAACATGAGCTTAACGTACTCTGTTTGTGAAGACATAACTCATACTGTGATTATAGAGTTTTCAGAGGGACATGTGAAACTGTGTTTTCTTAAAGCGGGTGTTTTCTAGAAAATAACGCGTGCGATAAATTGTCCATAAAGGTCACCCGGGGAAGACGGTGAACATCTGTATGATTTTTTTTATTATTATTCAAAAGCTTTATCTGGTTTCAATTAACTGCATTGTTGAAGTTCCCCCCCACCCCTCTTTAAACACCTGGCCCAGTTAATATCGGTGGTGTGATCCCTGCTGAAGTGTTGAAATTTCAGTGTCTCTGGGCTACTCTAAGACGGCACGGTGCCTGCGTGCCTGAAGTTAGCATGACACGCTCCATTTAAGATGCATTGAACAATCAAATAAGTTTGTGTAAGCCAGAGTGTTGCAATCCCTAATCATTTTGCCAAAAATAAGTTAGCTGTTATGTTTTATAACATATGAAGTGTGATAATAAGAAACTTGTGTTTCCATCTCTTCTGTTATTTTTACTGGAATATTTGACTCCCATAAGATTTTGAAGACATATGTGTAGTTTAGTAGCTGGTTTATTTGGTTTTATTTTGGTTCAGTTCTTTATAATATTTTTATAACTAATTATAGGAAACTTTGGTCTTAAAATCATTTTAAGTAACTTATTGTACACTTTAGATGTATTATCTGACCTATATTTAAATATACTAAAAAAAAATGGCTTCTTTAAAAATCTAGAATTAAATTTTTTTTTGTTTCTTTAAGCAAATTTGTTACATAGAATTATCGAAATTCTTCCTATGTTTTGACAGTAATGTCCAGAATAAAGAATTTAAATAGAAGCTGGAGAAAATAGATATTTGGAAGACTGTTAAATAGTAGCTGTCATAACTTCTAATAATAAACATAGTTTTAGACTCATAGGATCTTAGAACTGAGATGGGCTTTGGGAACAGTCTTGTCCCATCTTTCTTTTCATGGATGGGAACTGAGAGCACAGTCCCTTGCCAGGATGCAGCCTCAGCTCTGTCTGAATCCAGGGGTGGGGTCCTGTTATGTTAGCTGTGGGTATAAAGAGAGTCTAAGAAGATATTTGATGGGTCTTTCAAACTTAGGATGATAGCAGAGCCTGCCGATAGCTCACTATACTCGTGGACTATACGCAACAAGCTGCACGTGGTCCATTACATTGCAGCTCAGGGAACAGGAGATTCCATGAATGAATGCTGTTTTAGCAATTCGGAGCTAGAGGTGGAGTAATCAGAGCAGAAATAGTAGTCTTATCCCCACTATTTAGAATCTTCTTTCAACATTGATCCTATGTATGTTAAAAAAATGTGCCATCTGATTTTGCCAGTAAATTGTTTGCATAAAGTTCA